ACATAGCAATTTCATATAATGAACCAATACCAGCAACCAACACAAAAACACAAACTAAAAAGAAATGACAGAAAGAGAAAGCAAACTCAGAAGGATGAAAAAACAAAGAAAAAAGTGTGCAAACCGAAATGCATCGAGAGGAATAAGCATCCACGTGCAAGCTGGCCGCCTATGCTCAGCCTCGCGAACTCATACCTGCCAATCAGAAAATCATAGAACTCCAAAATTACCATTAATTAAAGATAAAACTAAAAGCGTAAAGAAAAATCTAAGAAAACGATAAATCACTTGGGTTGCCTCCCAAGAAGCGCTTCTTTAACGTCATTAGCTTGACGAAACCTGTGAGGAACTCAACCGGGGTCTAAAAAGAAGTGACGATCGTGCCACACCTTCGTATTCCTAGTAGTGGTAGCATGAAAAGTGTGGCAAGAAGGCGGGAATGGTGGATCCGGGTGGCTATGTTCTGAATGAAACTGGTGTGGGAACGAGCAATCCCCAGTAATTGACATAGAACTTTTCCCACCCAAGCTCTATCGTCATCCTCAGGGATTATGAGAACATCCGTGGAACAAGTCGAGCTAAATCCGGCCCACTTGGTAGCACAGTGTAATGGCTCCGAAGGTGAATGCTCCAATTCGGTGGCGGGAGGAGGGACTTGAGAAATGGTGACGTGGAATTTTTGGTCAAGTCCACGAATCTCTTTCTCTAAAATATTATCGTCTCGCTGGAGTGCATCATCTTCCTCTTCGGTCTCACACATGTGTATCGGAATGCATGCTTGGGCACCTACCATAAGATGGGAGTCGTCGATTTTCAACTCGAAAGAGTCGAGACGTGCTGTTAGATTTTCCATTTGAGCACTCAGTCGAGCACACCCGAGCTCAATCTCTCCTTCTCGGTTTGCTTGGGCCATCATATGATCTCGGATGAGATCAAGTTTGGCATTGTATCTCGAAGAGTCATCCTCAAGCTTATCAAAAGGTACGGGTTCCGGATGTGGGTCCACAACCATGGTCTTATTGGCTCGTGACTCGATAGAGTCGATGCGCCTCGCTAGACTCTCCAATTGCTCGCTCAAACGGGCACATCTGAGCTCAATCTCTGCTTTTCGGCTTTCTTGGGCCCTCATTCGATCGAGGATAAGATCAAGCTTAGCGTTGAATGCGTCTTCTTCTTCTCGAGCTGCTATAAAGGTAAGAATTTGGTCGAGCTTCTCGTTAAACACATGGGACTCGTAAGACTGCTCGACTGGATAGGGATCCCAGTACTGCTCGGAAGAGTATGAGTATGACTGGTCATGGTACCCGGCATGATAGCTCGGCTCGTTAACCCAAGATTGGTTATGCGGATAGGGAAAAGCACGGTTGAAGTTCATAATTCCTGCACACCAAAACAGAACAACCACACGTAGCCACGAAATGAGAGAAAAAAGAAAAAAAGAAAACAAAAACAAAAACAAAGAGAAAAACAAAGATGCACACGAAAGAAAGAACGAAAACACGATAATTACAAACTAAAGAGAAACACAAAAAATAAAATCAATACCAAAACCAAATGTCCTACTTGCCTTCCCCGACAACGGCGCCAAATTTGTTGTAGCAAATTATTTTTATTTTTACCGAGAACCGAATTAAAAGATTCGTTCCCCGGGTCGATCTCTCAAGGAAGACGTTTCGGAATTTAGCGTTGGTGTTGATCACACACGAAAAGAAAATAAATCCTAAACATTCTAATCATGGTTGATTTGGA